TTGGCCAGCCGTGACCTCCGCCCTCACCGCCTAGCGCTAGGCCGCGGAACCACGTCTGAACTTTTGCGACAGCTTCAAGCTCGACGCGCATCACCACCGCGCATATACCCACACCCACCGCCGCCATGGATGACCTATACGACGAGTGAGTGCGCCTATCCTCTCCAACTATGTTACGCGACTGACTTTTGACAGGTTCGGAAATTTTATTGGCGAGGCCGAGTCCGACGACGATGTCCAGAGCACCGGCCAGGCAGCCGACGCCTATGTCCTCGACGATGAGGAGGAAGCCGAGACGAACGACCAGCAGCTTATGGAGGTGGACGAGGGGCCATCCAATGCCGTCATTCTCCACGAAGACAAGCAGTACTACCCTTCTGCGTCCGACGTATACGGCCCCGATGTCGAAGTACTGGTGCACGAGGAAGACACGCAGTCGCTGGCGCAGCCCATTATTGCGCCGGTAGTGCAGAAGAAGTTCACGATTCAAGAGACAGATCTGCCCCCGGTGCATCACTCGAGAGAGCTCTTGACGGATTTGATGAACTTCCCCGACCAGATACGGAATATCGCCATAGCTGGACACTTGCATCACGGAAAGACTGCCTTTATGGATATGCTGGTCATGGAGACACACGACATCCAAGATCGTCTGGACTACAAGAGGGGCAAGAAGCGGGAGGAGCAGCTGCGATACACCGACGTACACGTGCTCGAGCGCGAACGAGGCCTCTCCATCAAGGCTGCACCCATGAGCCTCGTCCTCCAGAACACGAAGCTGAAGTCGCATCTATTCAACATCCTCGATACCCCCGGACACGTAAACTTCGCCGATGAAGTCGCCGCCTCGTTGCGCCTGGTCGACGGAGTGGTCTTGGTGGTGGATGTGGTTGAAGGCGTGCAAGTGAACACGGAGCAAATCATAAAGCACGCGGTGCTGGAGGATCTGCCCCTAACACTTGTGGTCAATAAGATGGACCGCTTGATTCTAGAGCTGAAGCTGCCGCCCAGCGACGCATACTTCAAGATTAAGCACGTAATCGAGGAGGTCAACACTATCATCGAGAACACCATCCCCGGCCGCGGCGAGAGCAGACGAGTAAGCCCTGAGAAAGGCAATGTCGCTTTCGCTTGCTCCAGCATGCGATGGTGCTTCACCATTCAGTCCTTCGCGAAGATGTACTCCGACTTTTACCCCGGTACATCGAAACTCCCAGGTTTCGGCGTCCCGATGAAGGGTCTGGATATCGATAAATTCGCCATGCGTCTTTGGGGCGACATCTTCTACAACCCTGGAAGCCGCAAGTTCAGTCGCAAGCGGCAGGAGGAGGGCTCACAACGGTCTTTCGTACACTGGATCTTGGAGCCTGTCTACAAGATCTACTCGCACACACTGAGCGAGAGCCCGGATGACCTCAAGGACACGCTCGACACTTTGGGCATCCGACTGAAGCCATCGGAATACAAGACCGACGCAAAGGAGCTGATGCGCCTTGTATGCCAGCAGTACTTTGGTCCATCTCTGGGTTTTGTCGATATGATCACCAAACACGTTCCTTCGCCCGAAGAAGGTGCGCAACGGCTGCTGCAAAGACATTACACTGGACCTCTGGATACGAAGACCGCAGAAGCCATGCAGAAGTGCGACCAGAACGGACCCCTCGTCATACACGTTACAAAGCTGTTCAATGCGACAGATGCGAAGTCGTTTACAGCACTGGGTCGAGTAATGAGTGGTACTGCAACCTCGCCGCAGTCGGTGCGCGTTCTTGGCGAAGGCTACACGATCGAGGATGAGGAAGACATGGTCGTTGCGACAGTAACAGACACATGGATAGCGCAGTCACGATACAATATCCCCGTCAGCGGTGTTCCGGCAGGTAACTGGGTGCTGCTCGGCGGTGTCGACAATTCGATAGTCAAGACGGCGACTATTGTAGCTACCAAACTCCCCGAAGACGAAGACGCCTACATTTTCCGACCCATCCGCCACTTCTTTGAATCCGTGTTCAAGGTTGCCGTTGAACCGATAAACCCCTCCGAATTACCGAAGATGCTTGACGGTCTGCGCAAGATTAACAAGTCATACCCGCTCATCACAACCAAGGTCGAGGAGTCAGGAGAGCACGTTGTTCTCGGCACAGGCGAACTATACATGGACTGTGTTCTGCACGATTTGCGACGGTTGTACGCCGATATGGAGATCAAGGTGTCAGATCCCGTAACAAGATTCTGCGAGACGGTCGTTGAGATGTCCGCCATCAAGTGCTACGCGCTTACACCGAACAAGAAGAACAAGCTCACGATGATTGCTGAGCCGCTCGACCCAGGTATCGCAGAAGACATTGAGGCTGGAAAGGTCAATATCAAGGACCCTGTGAGAGTCGTTGGAAAGTTCTTCGAAGAGAACTACGGATACGACTTGCTCGCGTCGCGTAACATCTGGGCTTTCGGACCTGACGACATGGGCCCCAACATCCTACAAAACGACACACTTCCCTCAGAAGTCGACGGCAAGACTCTGCGAACGGTGCGCGATACGCTTCGACAAGGTTTCAGCTGGGCTACTCGAGAAGGCCCACTCTGCGAAGAGCCCATTCGCAACACAAAGTTCCGAATCACCGATGTCGAACTTGCGCCAGAAGCCATCTTCCGCGGAGGTGGCCAGATCATTCCCACCAGTCGACGAGCGTGCTACTCAAGTTTCCTGATGGCGAGTCCCAGGCTCATGGAGCCGGTGTACTCGTGCAGTATGGTCGGCCCTGCAGACACCAAGAGCAGCTTGTACACAGTCCTCGCACGAAGGAGAGGACATGTACTGCAGGACGGACCCATCGCGGGTACTCCCTTGTACAACGTGCGTGGTCTTATCCCGGTCATCGATTCTTTCGGTTTCGAGACCGATCTCAGGGTACGTACACCTACAATCAGCCCCATTACCTAGCGCATATACTAACTTCCCATAGATCCACACACAAGGCCAAGTCTCCCTCTCCCTCGTCTTCGACCGCTGGTCCATCGTTCCCGGCGACCCTCTCGACAAAGACATCACAACCCGACCGCTCGAACCCGCAACCGCACAACAACTCGCACGCGACTTTGTGCTCAAGACAAGGAGAAGGAAGGGTCTCGCGGAGGATGTCACAATTAGCAAGTTCTTGGAGCCAGAACTGTTCCGTTCCCTCAAGGAGAGCGGCGTGCTTGACGGTTAGGATGGTTGTATAGCATACTTTGGAGTCAAATGGGAACGGCGCAAATTGGAAGCTACAAAAGCACATGGAGAAATCATTTTGGAGATGCGTTCATGAAGGTGGCTGGAGAGTCGAAATGAAATATACCCGTCGCATGTCAGTACATCATAACCTTCCTCCTCTCCTCTCAGATCCGAACGTCAGTGCGGCACGTGATTTTCCGAAGAGCCGTGCGGCTATATAAATGGCTTGCTCACCTACCCTCTTTCCTCCTACAATACTTTCCCTAAAATCAAAATTACCTGGGCGCAGACCTATGTCTGTCAGTCCTCTGTTTCACCAACACGCAATGGAAGAAGACGATGTGGACTTCCTGTCCAGTCTTTTTCCCCCCAAAATCGTCAACTATTATGCTCATGTGGGCTTCCAACCCGGTCTTCTCCAAAAATCAAAATCATCGGTCCAACAATACATGTCTCTGCCCGGGTCTTGTTTCCCATCAAAATCTCCAATTATCTGGCTCATGTGGGCTCCCAGGCCGGTCTTTTCCAGCAAGATCAAAGCATGACGAAAAGATGATCTGGTGCTTTGTATCTATTGTTTCTCGTCAAAATAAAAATACTCACAACGCATGTCTGGGTTCAGCTCTACACTCCATCAAAAGTGAAAGCAGCGATGGCTATGTTTGCGCTCCTTCCAATATCTTGAAACCAGAACACGACTGAGAGACAGCTCTTCCGATGTCGGTACATTACCTGAGTTGCCCGACGCTGGCCTACCAAAAAAAAACCCCCACTATGACTCTTTTCATGTCCTCTCCTGTCTACTAAAAAAAAAAGGGGGAAGCTTACCATGTTCTCTGCGATCTACCAAAACTACAACAACACTCGCCATGTTCTTTTCGGTCTCTGAGAGCTTTACAATCGTCAAAAACAAATGACCAAGTAACGAATACAAAGGACTCGAAATTTGGCATCTCAGACTTTATGCTGCAGCCAGGAGGACTTTACACCATCATCACTTTTCAGTTTCTTTTCGAAAATCGAATCGTATAGCTCCTCGCTCTATGGTCTCGTATCACAGAAAATGATGTAGTTCAATGTCTGCTCCTTCTCTGGTTTCAAAACTCATATTCTTGCATCTCTCGGAGGTACTCGCGATGCTGCGTCGCGTCATGACCACTCTCAAACAGACTGAGGTCTTTATCGCCACCATTCCCCGTGAACGTGAACCACGTTAGCTTGTTCCACCACACATTACAGAGCAGCCGCGCAAAACTCCAACTGAAGATCAAACATGCTATTTGCTTGGACGCATGCGCAAACTCAGTCTGTACGACAACGTAAGTTTCGATACAGGCGCATACTCGCACTTCATGCAATGTGAAATCCCCACACCTTGGGGCCTACGTTGATGTTGGGTTACCTACTTTGCACGTTTTCATCTCAATGTAGACGGCAGACCTGTTTAGCCTTTTTCTTGTACGATGTGCTCGAACGATTCGGCATGGAGCGAGGATGAAAAGTCAGTCTCTATGAATGAATACAATTCGTGCCCATCGGGGTTTAGCAATACACAAGCTTTCTATGCATCGCCAAAGCACCGCAACAAGAGTGTCGACGAATGGCTACACGGATGGATACGAATGGTTACACGAATGGACACGCTTTACTAGTCTCATGGGAATCATTGTCTGCCAAGTTCGAGATATCAACGCTTTCTGTAAACTGATTGTAGAGAGCTACGTTAATCTATAAACTGGTGCGCAATAAACACCATGACTATACGCTGTCCTCTCTCAAAGTGCACTTAGGTCCTTGCATCGGATTCAACAAACTCAGGCTTCACCACTTTCTGGTCTGTCACCTGCTCTATATCCTTTATGACCAAGTCAAACGGGATCATGTAAGAAACGCGCGTATGCTCGTTGAAGGCATAGAGTAGACCAACAATCGTTGCTTTCCTACTATTGCGTTCGTTCAGTAGTACGCAACTGCCGGAGTCGCCGGCCCTCATGAACTCTTCTCCTTTGCGGTCATGCATGACGCCGAAAGTCAGCATGATACCGTCTGTCGTTCCAAATCGCTGCTCCATGTCTACCGGTACAATAGAAGTAGAGTCATGTCGTAGATTCAAGAGTGAGCCAATCTGATTGATGTGTCCGTACGTCCAGCCAGTTGTCCGGCCCTTCTTGGCCACTTGCAAGCTTTGAGTGTGCTTGATCTTGGTGAATCGTGTCACTTCTGCTCCGATGGGCACTTTGCTGCCTGTGCCATCAATGGGAACACGGTCGCTCATTGTCCGCCCTGTGGGGACCTTGATCAGTGCCCAGTCGAGCGCGAATTTCAGGGTGTGACCAGCAATCTTGTCGGCCAAGGTCGGGGGGTGTGTACCGTCCTTCCTCTTGAAGGCGTCGCCCAGCAGGTTCCTCTGCTTCTTCCTCGTCTCCAGATGTCTGCATGGCCAGGTGTGGTGCGTAAAGGAGATCGACCTCCATTGTCTGGGGGAGTAGTTGACGTATATGAGGTAGGATTCTGTCCCCCCATATGGCTGAGTCGGCATCTCGTGCGGTGATGAGGAGAATAGGCGCGCGTATGGGATGCAATTCTCCGATTTCACGGAGGACGATGTCGGCGGTGAGCCACTGTCGTTCCTGGATATCTTCAAGGAGAGCTGGCCGATAGCACTCCCATGCTGCGACAAGCTCTGGCGCGCAATCTGTGAGCGGCGCTGAGGGTACTCCGTCTGCTGTTCTGATGTCTGTAATTTCAACTGTAATGTCCTCGCGATTGGCCTTGTCGAAGAGTAATCTGAGATCACTCACCGCGACCTTCCAGGCCGAGTATTGTCCATCCACTGAAAACGTCCGAGGTGACTAGTAGCGTGAGAGGCGTCAGGGATGGGGTCTGGCCAGGTCGGACGCGCTTTACGAGGCCGTAGCCAAGAACCCGGACCTGGGCGTCGTGAAGAATGCGGGCTACGCTGTGTCGAGATACACCGTCGCTCCACTCTGGTATTCATTGGGCTCTTATGTTATCGAAGGAAGGTACGTTTAACGCGCCGACACGGTAGGTCCATCTAATGTCCATCTTTGGTGTCTCGCGTACGAAAAGTGGAGGTGGAGTTCGGCAGTCGATTTGGCTTTGAGCTTGTGAATTCTTGGTTTTAGGTAGCGTAAAACAATGGAAGATCCAGCGATCTCGTTCTTGGTGAGTACTTAGGGCGAAAGGAAAAGTTTATCGAGGAAGGCCTTTTGTACTTGGACATTGTGTGCTGTAGTGGGTCAGACGCTTGTAGAACCGTGGCACAGCTGCAGGACGGACGCTGGGAATTGGTGGAGGCTATGCTGACGTACGGGGCGAATCAGGCCAGAAAGGACTGTTGACTTGTGCTGCGTGGTTCATGCAGCAAGAGCGTCCCATGGATTGGATGAGGGAAAGTGGAACGTTGGAGTGGTGCGTCATATCTCAAAGCGGTAGCGATGAATCTGACCAAGTTGATGCGCGACTTCCGTTAAGGGTCTTGGTAATGGGATGGGGTATGTGCCGGGCCCGGACAATGCGCAAGCGCCTACATGGACGACAGAACTGGCAAAGATCGGGATGAGACCTGGGTATCGAAACAGGTCTGGCGGGACCTGACTAATCGGAAAATCCGTGATGATGTTGCGCTCATGTCGACCCCTCCCACCGTACACGACCGCATAGCGTCGGAAGAGCAAGAGCAGATTGCGGAACAAGAGGCTATCACTGCTAAGTTGAACACCACAAAGACTGGACTTGCGGCTGACTCGTGTTCCCGTATCATGCTGGGGACCGTACCCTATTGTTGCGCTGCATTACGGTAACTTTGACGTCGCTGGTCCTTCGAGATGGCGTGAGGCTTATCGACCTCTCAGGCAAGTCCCATTCATCGATTCCAACATGAGCAGGTTCAAAATTCCCAGGACTCGGAGCCATCGACCATATACATACCAAGGCCATAAGACCCAGTTTACCTACCTCTCTATCCTGATCGTGGAAGAGGCTACATGAGCCATGAGTGACCGTGACCTCGAACCACTACTGCGGAATAACGCTCAGAAGGCGCCAAATGGATAGGGTAGCATTTTCATCGTCGTATATCGCTCAAGTATCTGCCAGGGGTAGCTTGCATCGTGGAGACGCTTCGATTCCAAGAGTACCTGTGAAGGCTGAAAGGTAGCAGCTCACGAAGAACTCGAACTTTTGGAACCGCTTTGAGGTATACAAAGTTTTTCACAAAGGACTTTTCAGTCACAAAACATGGCTCTGGAAACTACATGAAACTTTTGAATGAGAGCCTAAGAGGCTGCCTACTCTTGAAGTCATACACGAGCTATCATAAGTATCCGAATCCAGCCCACTTGAATCGTTGTAGACGCCTGGACGAGCTGCGCACGAAGGTTTCTTGGTTCCACTGAGCTACCGTTCATCCATTTCCACTTACCCAAGCCATAGCTGTGCCGCGAGGAAGTTTTCGTGTTTCTTGAGGTCGCCATAACCATCTCAATCTCCGTCCATGAGCCTGGAAACCTTCAGATACCTGCAGAGGTAGGGGTACGAAGTCAGTGTATGTCTCAAATGCAGTTCGTACAGCCAGAACTTACCTCGGGTCTTGGTATGTCCAACCATCTAAGCTAAAGCTGGAGCTCCAGTCATGTTGACGAGTATGTTGAAAGTGAGCTCTCCCTCGCTGTGGACGGGGAGGCCTGTCTTATCGTATGGCTACGAGTTGCATCCCCGCATGGACAACTTCGAGCGTGCGTAGTAAGATTCTCCAACGCCCATTGACGAGGAGAGATTCGAACCTGACGTTTCCGGTTTCCTCTTGTTTAACGAACCTTGTCCAGTTTCCCTGCTCAGAACGTTTGATCTTGCACAGTGCTTCGGTGTCGCTGTGTAGTACCAGCATGCCGTCATCTGTTTCGGTGGTGAGCGGCACAAGCTGGCCGATCACCTCTCCGATCAGGATACCTTCAGGCAATGTCGCGGCCGCCTCCACGTAACGTCCCCGGTCACGGTCTCGCTTGATTCGATATGCGTTTGGAGGAAAGCGTAGGCATTGGCACGGAGCTTGAACGCTGCATATATGACACTTAGCTCCTGGCTCGGCAGTCGTGGGGTCGGTATCCCAATCGCCATCGTCGGAGCAGTGGTGGTCAGGGCCAGAGTTGGCATTGAAGTGCTGCCGGATGTGACCTAGCCAACCCAATCCTGGATCTCTGTCGTCATGGTCGTCCAGGTCTTCTCCGAGGCCCCTGTTCCATACAAATTGCTGGTAAGCTTCCTCGCTGCAATGCTCAAACTCAAACTCAAATTCTTCCGATTTGTTGTAGAGATCGTATACACGAACACCTACACGTAGGAGTGCTGATGCTATGACAGAAGATTGGTTCATCACGGCGGAAAACTCAGATACATCCTTGTATGTAATCTTCTTGCACATGTCAGACGACACGTAGTATGGCGCCTCAAGTGTGAGTGGAATGAGAGCCAAGATACCGACATTGGGGGAGCCACCTGGACAATTTTCGCAGATGCTGAGCCATTTCGCTCGCCGCGAGTAGACATTTTTGAAGGCCAAGAGCGTTTGCTTGGTGGGTTCAATACCTAAGCGTTGGAGTACTTTGTGCACGAACATCTTGTCCTTCTTCTTGTGTAGGCGCGTGCTGTGCGCGAACTGGTACTCGGCTACCCGCAAGCGGAACAGACCATGATCGCGCTCGTTCTCAATGGCCAGAACCTGTCGATGAGACGAGGCCACTTGAGCGACTGCGTCGTCCTGTTGCAAAGACACGATCGATACGGGCCTCTGCGAGCGCCACGCTCGGACGAGTGCTTTGATTTGACAGAGAGTGCTCTTGCTCAGCACAGAGGCGGCGACGCGTACGCCCTTCGTGTATGCGCTGGCACCGAGATTGACGTTTTCGCTTAGACTGAGTTTGCGCATACGCGCCAGCAATTGCGACGTTTTATCTTCTGTTGGAGCTTTGCGTGACCTTACATTGCGTTGCTGCGGTTCCTCACTGGGGTTCCTCTTCACGCCCTGTTGTCCGCTTCCCGCCTCCGTCACAGGAACAAACAGCTCACTAGCTCTATCATCGCGACCCTGCTCAAGTCGTTCCGATGCCCGTACCGTCGGTCTGGCCACAGCATCTGCGGAAGCGGAGGTGAGGGGATTAGGTGCGAGGCTTGGATCTGGGCTGAGCTGCTCCCGCTTCACGGACGCCGGACTCTGCACCAATGGACTACCCAAGGTACTTGCGGGTGTTGATGGTGTTAGTGAGATTGAAGTAGGGTCGGGATCTGGAACCGGGTCTGGGTTCACCGGCATTGAGCCATGCGCTATCGAATTACCCGAGGAACGTGTGGGACTGTCTGGCGTGGGTGCGGCACCTGCGTCCCGGGCTGCAGCAATCTTCTCTAGTATCCATAAGAAGCTCTTTAGACCGCCAGTCATCTCCTCTAACAAAGTCTCCTTATCTCTCACTGTTGGTGTTTTCGCAGTGGTTTCTCTCGTCTTGACGCCCGGCGGTCGTAGTCCGATCAAAGAGCTGGCCCTATTGGTTAAATCCGCTAGCTCTTCTAGATCCGCTTCCATTTGTTGACATGTCCACCCAGGCAGCGCATCTTCGGTTGCTTCCATCGTTAAAGTGGGGTGTTGGGTTGGTGTGGTCTTGGTGTCTCCCGAGGTCTTGTAGTGTGTTGTGTGGATGGAGGAGTGTAGAGTCAGAAGTCAAAATCTCGCTCTCACCTTCACCTCATATCAGTGGATACCTAGGTATTCCCCACGTGCTGAGCCCTCTCACCAGTAGTGCGGGCGGTGAGCTACCGCAAAGCTTGATGTAAATCCTGCTCAAAATGTGCACTCTCGAAAGATTGCTGCGGTGAGACTGCTTTCGTTTAGCTGCAATGTGTGGCGTATACATGCTATTAAATTTTGATAAGTACACGATCCCTAAGCTGATATATCCTCCAACCCTGACATGTTCTTCAGACAATGCCTCACACATTGTGCCACCTCTAGTAGTATTGAAAGTGACTTTTGGTCCAGAATTGTGGTACCAAACCAAGGAAAAGGAAAAGACATGTAAAGCGATTCCATGTGCGCCCATTTGCTATCGACTCGAGCCAGTTCAGTGACACTGTGTCTAGCCGCTGCTACACCATCTATATCATGGCCATTGTCGCAAAGATTCTTTGGTGTGTACCGAGGCTGCCATCTCCAAGTCCATGAGTCTAATCGCTGAGTGTTTTGAAAAAGTCTTCCGTGTTCGCAGGTTGAACATGAAACATCTGCACCGAGATTCTCAGAACAGATCATGGACGTGTGCGCCTGCAATTTGTTTTTAGAAAAAATGCGGAGGGAGATGTAGAATAGAAGAGAAGAGGAGCGGAGTAAAGTTTGGAGCTATATATACGACCGAGGCACACCTTCAGCGCTTAACTCGAACGTATAAGTTTTGGGATACCATGTGCTCTGCTGCATGTCTATAAACTTTCCAAAAGCGATGCATCTGGCATGAAACATCATGCTCGGATTTTAGAGAAGCGAAGCCGTCATGTCTACATCAACTGCGAGTTTTGATCAAGGCGAATCTTTCGTGGTTCTTTTTGATACGAACTGGATGCAGCGAGCATCTTGGATAACAAGTTCAAAGATTTGGAGGCGGCCATGTTGTATGCGTTGGGGCTTTTGAAGAACAGCTCACCAACATGAACTCGTATGTTCCTCTTTTTTGGTAGTTCGTGGCAGGCAGACAGCGAAAGACATCATACTGTTCGTTGTCATATTCGAAACAAGCCATGTCCCATGCCCTCAAGCTTTTTTGTTTCGGTATAAAAGGTAGGGTAATGGAAGAATGAAGGTGGGTGTGCCAGACGTGATATCTATACCCATCTGCACTAGCACAGAGCAACGCCATGGTGATGTGGATGGCGATCTTTTCATTCTCAGCGGTGCACAGCGGAAGCCGACGCAACCGCCCGATCATGGACTGGGGTAACGGTCTTTTTTGGTTCACATGAATATCATGAGGAGTAGAACCATGGCCATATCGAGATTGACCGTACTTTTTGAGAATGTGGGATCGCATATGCTGCGGCCCTCGTCGTTTTGGTGGAATGAAAAGACCAGAAGGGCAAGATTGTATTCAGTGTACCCTGAGCGATCGAACGCGACATGAGATTCTCTTGACGATGTTTTAGCACATACAGGTGCGTCGCAGTTGGTTTTCGAAAAGTTGCTGGTGAAGGAAAAGAGCGAGGAACAGGCATCATCTCATCCCCACAAAATTTTGGAAAAGGCCATGTACATTTTCTGACTTTGTTTTGGTAAAACAGAAGATTTTTCGTGTTCTTACAGGAACAATAGAGAGGAGATGCGACGGGGACTTAAATATCGTGAGCCGGGGCCACGACGGCGGACATGGCAAGGTTGAGGTCGTTTTTGAAACGATCGCGGAGTCCGAGTTCCACAGATCATGGCCACATTGGAAGGCCTTTTTGGAGATGTATGCACATGGACACTCTTCGGTTGTGTTTTGAACAGCGGAAGAAGGACGTGGACATTTATCAAAACGGAAGACTTTTCGAGGCCAGGCCATAGCAGTGACATGCGATGCTTTTGGAAAATTGCAAAGGCAGTAGTATATATGGAATAAGGTCCATGGGCAAGAAAGCAGTGTTAATATAGACGTCGTGCCAAGAGAAGTGCGTTTGCGTACTCGTAGGAAGGCGTGACGACTGCAATAGGATGGTGGTCCATACCATGAGCGGGGCATCTGAGTCTGTACACTGTACCGGTAATTTGTGTAGACTATTGAGTTAGTGTAGTCGAAATGTAGCGAGCAAACGTTCACTATCGAGAAGCAGTCGAAAGAACCACACACGATGAAAGTGGTGTAAGAATAGTATTGGGTATCAGAATACGCGACGATACGTGGCAGAAGCCGCGAAAAGCACAGAGCGCAAAAAGAGTGTGGCCGAAACCAAAGAAACGACGCTCGCGACCAACCTGGTAAAGACCCAAGATGACTCGCTCCATCACTTGTACTGATACTCGTTCTCGTCATCACTGTCATCCTGTCTTTCAAGCACATCTTCAATCTCCTCGTTCAGCAAAAGACCCATATCATACGTCTTCTCCCTGATCTCATCCGCCTCTTCCCTGCCCACCGAACAGTCATCCATAATGAGCAGAATCGCCGCCTCAGGCACCATAACAGCTTGCACAAAGGCCGCGATACCGGATGCTTGGACGACGCGATCCTTGCAGTTCTTCATCTCCACCTTCAGGGTATCCATGACACTCTCCGTGATGACGCGACGGCCGTGAGGACCATAGTAACCCGGGTAAGCGGCCTTTTCGTCAAGCGCGTATGACTCCAGTTCCTCTTGCACGTCTTCTGCCAGATCTGTTCGTCTCGAGGGGACGGCAGCCGCTTTTCCAGTCAATGCCAACGGTTCGTAGCGATCTCTGTGTATACTCGACCGGTCATTGTAGAGTATTTGTAACAGCGTCGCCTTGCTCCTGCGTATTCGTCTGGGAAGCGCTTTCCAGTCAATATCCGGGTATCCCTTCTGTGTGTACTCCTGCTGTGCCGACTTCTTCTTGTGCGCATGGCAAAATGCGGACTTGTTCTTGACCGTCTTATCCTTGCCTTTCCAGAAGTTCCAGTATTCGTCCTGCTCGACTGGCTCCGAACATAGTGTGCATCGTGAGCCTTCTTCCTCTACGTCGGGAAGCTTCCCGATGTAGCTGCTGATGTCGTCGAGGGCTTCTTGTGGTGCGCTGGAATCAGGCTGTGAGGATGGTGGCTCCTGATTCTCCTTCCAGCTGCTGAGTTGACCAAGGAGTTGGGCGGTTCTGGCTGCCTTTTCTGCTTTCTTCAGTGTCCTGGGACTCATTGGAGTGATCCCTAGTTCCCTGTCCAGCTCTTCGCCTTCGAGTATCTTAGGTGTAGCATCGCCGCCTTCGGCTTTTGTGTCTTTCACCTTCTTCTTCTTCGGTCTACGTAGTCCTTCGATATTGTTTTGTGGTCTGTCGCAGTCTTTTGGCAGCGCAAAGAGCTCTTCGTCGTCTAGACCAATGGAACTGGCATCGCTCTCGTCACCGGCTTGTGACAGGCCAGTCCGCGATTTGTTCTTCACTCCATAGGTCTGCCCCGTAGTCTTTGACGCTGCCTTCCCAAATTTCTTCGCAGGTGGTGGTAGTGCGTGTATATTCCTGATCTTCGAACCATACCCCTTGCTGTTCTTACTGGTCTTCTGGGAAGTGTGTTCCATACCCCAACTAATCGGACCATCGTTGGCTGACCCTGCAGACGACGCAGGTGTGTTTTCCTTCGAATCGTCGAATATCGTCGTGGCTTTATGCGCCTGACCACTCTGATACGTCCCACTCGAAGGGGCACGTATTATCCCAATCTTCTTTCTCGCAGCCTTCTTCTGAGGTCTTCTCAGAGTTGTATCCTCGGTATTCTTCGACGTAGGTATAGTGGGTTTCGCGGGTTGGACCGGTTGAGGAGGGGGAGGATGCGATTCGTTGTCGGAGGACACGGGCTCGGCATTGATATCGATTTCTTCCTCCTGGTTTGTGGATGGAGTATCGTCTTTCGCCTGTCGCTTGGGCATGGGCTCTTCGTGATCGTCCTCGCCAGCATGCCGCTTTCCACCAATGTTTCTTAACAATTTCGGCGCCTGCTTCGTCAGGTATACCATTGCCGCGCATGAATGAAGGAAACCGAACGAAAGAAAAAGATACAATGCGTCCTCGAGGTAATGCGATGTCGGCGCACGTGAATGTATAGGCTTCCCGAGACGGACTCGAGATCATGCAGCAACGCGCCTTCCGGCGTTCCACCCCAGAACGCGAACACCGCGTTCGCGCTAGTCTGTCTTATCGATAACGCCCGAGCTCCGCCAAAAAAAGTTACCAGAACTTGCCAACTCGGTCGCAAAACTTCCCAAACAACATCGAAACCCCCGGCATATCCTCACGATGGCTCTAGACGAAGCGCTGCAGCAGCCCTTGAACTTCACCGGTCATCGGCACATGATCTCGCGCCTCCTCCTGGCAACGCTCACCGGCCGACCCGTTCGCATCTCGCAAATTCGCTCTTCCTCGACCACACCCGGCTTAACACGCCATGAGACAAACTTCATCCGGCTGCTCGATTCGGTGACGAACGGCTCGCAGGTTCAATTCAGCATGACGGGTACGACATTAGTCTACAGACCCGGTCTCATCACCGGAAGTGCCGAGGGCCTAGGAGCCAGCGGCGGCGTAATCAGACACGAGATACCAGCCGAGTGCAGAAAGAGGGGCGTAAGCTGGTGGTTGATTCCACTCTGCGTTCTTGCGCCCTTCAGCAAAGGAAACATGAACGTCGTCTTCCACGGCGAAGGCTGCGTAACAGCCTCCACAATCGCCGGCGACGTCTCCGCCGACACCGTCCGCACCGCAATCCTCCCACTGTACAAAAACTTCGCTATCGAACGAAATATCGAGCTGCGCATTCTCAAGCGCTCTTCCGCGCCCGCAGGAGGCAAAGGCGCAGGCGGCGAAGTACAACTCGTCTTCAACCACCAAGTTCGCCTGCCCAAGACACTGCACCTACTGAACCCAGGCCGAGTCAAGAAGATAAGAGGTGTAGCCTACTGCGTCGAAGTCCCCAAGAGCAACAACGAGCGCATGACCTTCACCGCGCGAGGCATCCTCAACAAATTCGTCCCAGACACGTACATCTTCTCCGACGCCAGCGCCGCGCCCTTAATACCCACAAACGCCAAAGGCCACTCCAGCGGAAAAGTAAAAGGCGCCGTGGGTTTTGGAATCAGTCTCGTTGCGGAGACCAGCACGGGGTGTATATACTCTGCAGACGTATGCTCACCACCCGACGGCGGCGTGCCTGCAGACGAAATCGGCAAGCAATGCGCATACCAGCTGCTCGAGAAGATATCGCAGGGAGGATGTGTGGAGAACGTTGCGGCGCCTACGGTGCTCATGCTCATGGCTATGGGTAGCGAGGATGTGGGCAGAGTGGCCCTGGGCAAGGATATACTGGGCAGCGAGGAGATTATACAACTCGCGCGGGACTCCAAGGTCTTCGGTGGCAGCGCATGGGGCTTCAGGGAAGCTGGAGGCGAGAGGGAAGAAATTGTTGTTAGCGTTGTAGGAAGAGGAGTAGGCAATGTGGGAAGAAAGGTTGCTTAGATTTCTTCAGTTTGGGAAAAAGTTATGCGCGCAAATATGATACCCCCAATTTCTCATCATCTATCTTGGTTTGATGGCACCACTTGTTTTAGTGTGTATACTTCGTGTGGGCGTCACTGAGACGGCAGGTAAATACGTGTCTAAGCAAAGAAGAGACGCCGCCCAATGATCTGATTCGCATAAAACCACTGTACAAAAAAAGCTGATGCTAAAGCTGGGGACGTTCCTACTGCCTCTTGCCCGCCGAGCTCGCTCCACTACCACTGTCCTCATCGCTCTCCTCATCCTGATCCTGAGCATACTTCTCGTTAAACCTATCCTGGTCCCGATACGGGCCCTCGCTGCCCTCGTCATCACTCAGCAAGTCCTCATCAGACTCGCCAGCAAAAGCATCATACAGCTCTCCACCCCTCTTCGCGCGCTTCTTCCTGCCTGCAGCACCAGAAAGCAAGCCCGCGTCATCTCCAGCTTCGTTGTCGTCCAGAACCTCGAACTCGTACGCATCGCGCGAGTCCTTCATGCGCTTGCGCCTAGCAATGAAGAAATAGGTGCCGAGACCAGCCATGAAAACGATAATCAGGGCGAGAGCGCCGTATATCCAGATTTGGGTGCGCTTCGACACGCCAAAGGTGGGGAAGGGGTTAGGTAGGAAGTTTTCAGATGGATCAGCAGACGCCGTGGCACTGGCACTCGCAGTCGCCGAAGTCGTCGTCTGCACACCACTGTTAGCTGGTGTCTGAGAGGGCTTCTGGTTCACGGGACGGTCGGGGTGGTCATCGGGGATGGATGTCATGGTAGGTGAGGTACCACTGGGTATGGTAATACTAGTGGTATGCGCCGGATGATCATCAATCTTGTCGTGATCGTCGTCGTCGTGCTCGTCGGGGATGGGGCGGAGTTTGGCTTTGGAGGCGTCGATGCATTCACCCCAGAGGCGGAGCTTCCAGTCGGTAAAGGTGCCCGTCTTCATGTTGCCAGATTTGACGTCTTTGACTATGACGGTCCAGTTGCCAATGGCGTTCTCTCCCCAGTGGGCGACGGACATGAAGGTCCAGTCAATGTAGCCGTACGGCGCTTCGTCGTCGCGGCGTGCGGTAGACAGATGCGAAACCATGCCGCTTGGAGATCGGAGTTCGACACTGAGATCGCCACGGCGCTCGTGCTCTACGTTCATGGTGAGCGTGATATGCTCAACACGGGCAAAGTTGGCCTTCTTGAGCATGTCCTCCTTGACTTCAAAGACACTGGCGAGGCCCTGGTTGCCTTCCGGAATCGCCTTCTTCACGTGCATCCAAGGCGAGTAGAACCATGCCTGGGGCTTGACGAGCTCCCACTCCTTCGCTTTCTCTACTATGGCGTAAGCGTCGAGCTTTCCGTATCCGAATTGATGGCTGAACATGCGATCAATCGAGGTTTTGGTCCAGTCGCTGGGCGTGTCAAAGGGAACAGCTGTCATAACGGCGAGCCATTGCATGTCGCGCCATGTCAACTCAGGGCGGGCCTGAAGCGCAAGGGCGAAGACTCCTACACCAATGGGTCCGGCAGCCGATGTGCCTCCGTGCTGGCTAGTGCACTTGTTTGCGCCAACATCTGTTGTGTGGATAGCATCGCCGCCGCCACTGCTGTATGTTACCACCAGCTGTGCGGAGCAGGCCTCGGAGTAGTATGGGTGGCCGTTGTTCTGGTCGATGGCGCCGACGGTGATACTGTAGATGCTGTTGGTGTAACCGTCGAAGTTGCAGTTGTCGTCGCTCGCAGCACCATTGCCTGCTGCGAAGACGTAGATGGATCCCTTTCCGCCGCGGCCCTTCTGAACAGCAGTGACCATGGCCTTCTCAATGAGGATACCTGGAGCTTGCATGGTCTTACCATCGTCGGGTGGGCCCCACGAGCACGAGTAGATGTCGTTCTGCTGCATCTCGAAGTTTATCGCGAGTGCCTCGTCGAGATCTGTGATGTCGCCCGACAGGATGCGCACACCTGAGATCTTCGCGTCGTAGGCAAGTCCGACACCGCAGGCGTCGTTCCTTCCGGCGGCGATTTCTCCCGCGCATCGTGTGCCGTGGCGGTCGTCGGAGAGCTTCGGGGTAGGTAGGTCTTCGTGGTCGTTGTAGTCGTGGGAGCCAGCAGCGAAGAAGTTGTCCTTGAGGTCGTTGCTGGTGTAGTCCAAGCCATCGTCGACAACGCATGCGGTAACGCCTTCGCCGGTGATGTTCTGCAGCCACACGCCGGTGACGTTTATGTCGTTCCCAGGCGTCTTGACATTGAAGATGTGCCATTGCTCTTCGAAGATGGGGTCCTTGATTTGCAGCTGGCTCGCTACTTCCCGCTGAGCTTTGATGGCATCCGTAACAGGGGGCCCCCGTTCTGGCAGTTCTGGGATGACGCTGCGCTTCCAGTGCCGCGCCTTGATCTTTTGCTTTTGGGTGAAGTGGACGCTGTCGAGAGGGTGGTACTCGGGGCCGACTTCCCGTTTCCGCCGCCGCCTCTTGAGTTCTTGTTGTGCGTCGTCTACAATGTCGTTCTCGTGCTTGGGGGCCTTGAAGACATGGTGGTCCTCGAGTGTGCCGAAGGGGCCCTCGTACGTCAGGCCGAGGTGCGCGGCGAGGTCTGAGGGCGATGCGGAGGGGGAGATGTGGACGGCATAGTAGTCGTGGCTCGAGTAGTTGCGGGGTGGGAGGTGCCTTCCCGCAGTAGCCAGTGTGGCTGCCGTCAGCAGGCTCCAAAAGTGAATGCGCATGGCGATGGCGCCGAGAGGGTATTAAGTGCAGCCGGCTGCGGTCATGTATCGTGTAGGGTCGTAGGGCGTGACGTGGCAGCGCGTGCTGGGGAAGTATGCGTAGGTGGGTGGTGAGGATACCGTGGGCGGCGAGTCGAGAGGGTCGTCGGTATTGAGCTTATTGAGGAGACTGATTACGACGACAGGGTATTAGATGGACGGATGGACCGAAAAGCCTATGCGCGCGCCGAGTGCAGTGCGCCGGGGGAACAATACAGGCGTAGTGTAATGGTGTGAAAGAGGAGGAAGAAGCACCTGGGGCGTCACGTCGAGGAAGCCGGCGACTGAAACGTTAATGTTTGACACTTCTCTGGCTTCTTCGCATGCAAGGTGCCTGTATTGAGACCCCCGGGACGCCTTCCCCTTGTGGCGCTAGTGGCCGCCGCCCTTGCCTTGCCGGTGGCCGTGTGGAGGATGCCTGTCTGTCCAAGATGCTGCCGTCCGTCCAGCTCGAGCCCCAGCCTCCTCTACCGCGCCCGCCACCACCATTCTGCGATATGCGCTGGCCATGGATAACTGCCCCGACCCTGCATCCGTACCGCTCTTCCTATGTCCTTGCACTTAGCATCTCTTGATTTTCCCGCGACACACCGTTGTCATTGCGCCGTCCATCATCGCTACCGCATATTGCACCCCAGCACACCTCCGCCGCCTCTCCGCACCCGACATTCTTAGGTAGCTACCCACCATCAAGGACTGCAATTGAGACGTGTATCTAAGACCGGATGTGATAGTGTAACCTAGCTACGTAGATGCGCCCGACCTAGTTTCGTCCCATCTCCCACAGGACGGTGGTACGCCCCGCTTGCTTCACCGTAACCATTACCGATCCCATGATCTCGTCGCATCATGGAAAACAATAGGAACAGCGGCTCCTTTGCATCGCGGGCCGTCAATCCTACTCTCCTTGAAGTTCCAGACAGCAATCCCCAGAAGCGCAAATCCTACCGCCGCCCGGCCGATGCGCAACCCGCAGGCGCATCCCCACCAGAGCCCGACATGTCGAATACCGTACCCAGCAACACTGCGCGTCCTGTCGCAACTGTGCCCTTGAACGGCAATGTCACAATTGGCAGCGGGCATAGGCGGCGGCAGAGCAGACACATACCGCCCCCGACGACAGGCGCAACGAGCGAATCTGTGCCAGCTGCCCCAGAAGTACCTCGTGCGCCACCTTCCTCATACCGAGACCCGTATGCTAGAGGGGTCAAAGTGCCCGCGCGCTCAAGCTCTGGCCGATCGCGCGATCCAGCCATCCAATTGAACCCGAGCAGACAGCAGGCGACTATCCAAACAGCTGCCAACAGACTGTACGAGCTGCGGTCACCACCCTATGCGCCAGCCGAACCATTGGCAGGGACCGTCCAGCGACGCGGCTCTCAGCGCAGACCCTCTGTGCCCGACCGATCGCCCCTGCAAAAGTTGGAGGGGAAGCTAGACGATATCAGCAAGGAAGAGAGAAGGGCACGGATACTCGAGGCGGAATTGGCCGCGCAAGAGAAGGCTGAGGCGGAGATGCGAGAACGAAGAGCACGAGAAGCTGCGCAAAAGCAACGTGTTGTGTCTGTGCCCATACCGGAGAAGTCATCCAGCGCTTCTGCCCCGACCAACAACGGCAGGCGCCAGGTGTCCATGCCGTTCCAGGACAAAGCTATGTCACCGCCAATGTCCCCACCCATGTCACCGCCCATGAGCGACCTGGAATCGGACGACGGCTATGCCTATGATCTCAGCGACCCATGGCACCCCTCGGATGCACAAGGAGGAGCAGTTCAGTCCGTTCAGCATGTGCCCATGCAAAAGGCGCAGGTTGTTCCCATGGCCTACCAGCCGGTACCGCATACTGATGCTGCCATACCGCGAGGAAGCAGCTTGAAGGGAAAGGAACCGGCGGGTTCACGGAAATCTGGCAGCTACAGCGATCGGAGTATGCTGCCTTCGCAGAACATGCCCAGGAAGCCCGTAGCCAACCCCGCGGGACTTGGTCTGGTAGGTGTCCGCGACACTTCGACACCCTCTGATGTATCTCGTTCAGAGAGCAAGAGGGGCCAGGGGAAAAGAGACAGCCGAGGATTCATGGCTGCACAGATGGAAATGCAGCAAAACGATATCGACTACAAAGGATCACCACGAGAGAATGATACTCAGCAACTGCCACGCAAGATACCTCCCGTTCCCCAGACCGTTCAGATACCGCCCATCCCGCCTGTCCCTCAGACCAATCGCAAGAGCGTCATGTTCTCTGAGTCCGAGTCGGACCTAGAGCAGCACGATCCTGAGAAGAAACATCGCTACTCCCGCCATCACAGCGAGCCGGAAAGGACCTACACACCCGCTCCTATGCTCGAGGAATGGAGAAGTGCACCGATCGGTCTCCTCACTGCAGATGATCTAGATCTGGACGCTCCAGCCAAAGCCAATAGCGGCAACAAAGCATGGTGGGAAGAGAGCAAGGCCTCTCGACGAAGACGTTCCGGAGGATATGCGGAACCAACTTACGATGGCTATGCCGACGATGCCCCCACACACACTGCTTTCAATCCACCACTATACCTCAAGTGTGGACCGCTCCTACGCTACACCGGTCTTCGGAGAGATCGCAGCGTTCCCGGACGTGAGCGTGAAATCTGGAGAGGCAGTATCATGATTGTTACTGTTGACGCCTCTTCTTCGTATGCCAAGCCGCCGACGTTGCGATTATTCAAGCAGCCAATGGACATACTTCCGCCTCCGCCGGAGGAAATTAGCCAGGACCAGCTGGACCCATCCTACGTCGATCCCATCGAAGGCCAAGTCAAAGTGTCGCGTACTGGTGAGGCGCTATACGTCAAGCCGGTTGACGAACTCGCAGAGGACGAGGACCTATCGCGCATTGAAGACGACACCGGTTTGTTCTCCACGACTCGAAGCACAACGAACGGATCGGGTTCTAAGTCAACCCGCATTCACAAGAAGGACGGCGAGAAGCTTGGCAAAGTCCGTGATTTCCCCGGTATACGCCTGTATGCTGAGCGAGGCGTGACCTTCTGGCGCTTCAACATCGAAGTCGAACTTGGCAGTACCCAGACACGCATTGCCTACAAGATCAACCAAGGTCCTGCCATCGGATTTTGGGTCCCAGCCAAGGGAGAGTCTATGAACATTATGTTTCACAGCTGCAACGGCTTCTCAGCCACTGTCGAAGCGAATGAGTTCTGTGGTCCAGACCCGATGTGGCGCGATGTACTGAACACGCACCAAACCCGCCCATTCCATGTGATGATCGGTGGAGGTGATCAGATTTACAACGACGCTGTAATGAGGCAAACGACTTTGTTCAGACAATGGACTGAGAACAGAAACCCCATGCACAAGCACCATCAGACATTCTCCGAGGAGATGCAGAACGAGCTGGAGCAGTTCTACCTCGATCGGTACGCAATGTGGTTCTCCCAGGGTTTGTTTGGCATGGCCAACTCCCAGATCCCAATGGTCAATATCTGGGATGACCACGACATTATTGACGGCTTTGGATCATACCCTCATCACTTCATGCAAACGCCTGTATTCACCGGTGTTGGTGCCGTTGCTTTCAAGTACTACATGCTCTTCCAACATCAGTCTGTAACCGCCGAAACCGACAAGACCGAACCGTCATGGGTACTTGGAAAGAGTCCTGGCCCGTATATCAAGGAGCGCTCTCGGAGCGTCTTCATGCAACTCGGTCGTCAGGTAGCCTTCCTCGGTCTTGACTGCCGTACTGAGCGTCAGCGTGACGAAATTCTTACCGAAGACTCCTACGACATCATCTTCGATCGCCTGGAAGATGAGATCATCAAGGGTGAGACTAAGCACCTGATCGTGCTCCTTGGAGTGCCCATTGCCTACCCCCGCTTGAACTTCCTCGAGAACATCCTCACAAGCAGGCTTATGGACCCTCTAAAGGCTCTCGGCCGCGCAGGAATGCTGGGCAACTTTGTCAACAAGTTCGATGGAGGTGTCGAGATCCTGGATGACCTAGACGATCATTGGACAGCCAAGCACCACAAGGAAGAGCGCAACTGGTTCATCAAAGAGCTGCAACACATTGCTTCGACCAAATCTGTGCGCGTTACCATACTCGGTGGTGACGTGCATCTGGCGGCAGTCGGACAGTTCTACAGCAACAAGAAGCTGAACGTTCCCAAGGACAAGGATCACAGATACATGCCGAATGTTGTGTCTTCCGCTATTGTCAACACACCGCCTCCAGACGTGATGGCAGACATCATCAACAAGCGCAACAAGATACACCATCTCGATTCAGAAACAGATGAAGACATGATCCCCCTCTTCACTCACGGCGTCGACGGCAAGAAGAGGAACAACACACATTTGCTACCACACCGAAATTGGTGTAGCATTCGAGAGTACAAGCCAGGATCTTCACCATCAGAAACGCCATCGCCACCCACGACCCCTGCGAACGGGCCGCGCATGGGAAGAACGATGTCAGACTTCGCGCCAGGGCAGCTGGTGAGAAGACTCAGTGGCCAACAGAGAAGACCTTCAGGAAGAGGCCGCGGACCACCTGTGTCTTATCGCAACAACCCTTCATATGCCGCCGCCGATGAAGTTCAGATCGGCCACCATCAACCACGGTCTTCGTTCTCGCCCGATCGATCAGAACCTGAAAGACCCACTCGTTCGCGACGCAATTCTCTGACATCGCTCTTCCGTCGCCGCGCGTCAGTAGATGTCGCCCGTCCTGACACGTCTGAGACCGCAACACCTCCCCTAAGCCGGCACAGTGTGTCGCAAGATCGACCGTCTACCTTCCATCGCCGACCCAGCGTACTGACTAAGAAGACCGAGCGACACCACGGCCCATATGTCAATCTTGAGGGTGGTCTTGACATCTGTCTCAACGTTGAGGTATCGCAGCACGACCCGGCTGGTATCACAATGCCTTACAGACTACTCGTGCCAGCGCTTACTTATGTCGAGCCTGAGGAGGGCGTCGTCGAGAAAGAAAGCGGTAGATCCCGTGGTTTCTTTGGCTCTTTCGGTGGCAAGCGCAAAGCGACGATCGGCGATGATGGGAATTCCATCTCGGGCAGCGAAAGCGGAAGTGAGCTTGGGGAGATGTCTAGTGAAGAGGACGAAGAGCGCACGCAGCAAAGGTACAAGGTCGGACCTCGGATAGTCATGCCGAGTATGGGGTCTCAGAACAGGCGTGGCTCTGAACCTGCTCCTGTCACTGCCATTGGCCCTGCAGCTCCCGTTCCCACTGCCCGAGAGAACCGTCTTAGTTCAGGCTTCCATGCTAACACAGCTGCGAATGTAGCTCCGAACCAAACGAACGGAATTCCCCGCGATCTCGTTCCAGAAAGTCAAGGACGACGAAGCTTGGATGCAGCTGCGGGTACCTCGTCAAGAGCTGCTGCATGGGACAACGTGGCCGCGAAACGGCACGTCAGCATGCCGGTCGCTCCTCCCGCTACCCAGACTGCGACCCAAGCGACAGCGACGCCATCCCGCTCCGCCTCCACGCGCAAGCAGCCTACCTATAACTCGTCTCACAAGTCGCAGCTCCCTGCGCCTTCGCCAGAGATAGAACCCAAAGTGCAGCGAAGATCCATGGGTGGTATCTTGAACCAGCACTCGCACGACAAGAAATGGGAGCATGATGCCCATGTAGCCGCTCATACACCTGCACAAACACAAAGGAAGGCGAAGCGGGAATCATACCCACCCCATCCAGCGATCGTCGGCGCCGGACCAAACTCGCCCTACTCGCGAGACGGACAAGGCCTCCAAGCACGACAAGACACAGCCGGAGGTGACTACTTCTCCAGCGGAGGCCGAGACGGCAAGACCCATCCCGCCACAGCACCGCGTCAAGTCGTCGACCCAGAATACACCGAGAAACCAGTCCAACGTGCCGACTACGCCGCACAACCACAACGAGGCGGTTACGACCGTACCTCTTCCTACCCGGCCTACCCCCAACGTAACGGCACTGCAGGAGTAGGCGCAAAGTACCTTGGCGGAGGCAGGTACGAGGACGAAGATGAAGATAGCTTCGATAGCGCTGATGACGACGAGGCTAGTCTCAGCGGACAGGAGCAGGAGATGAGCCAGGATAGCTTCGTGGTGCCGAAGCGTAAGAAGAAGTGGCAGATCTGGAAGTAATGGGTGAGGGGGGATTGCATTGGTAACGAGATTACGATTTGGGTACATGACTGGTTCGGGCTTTTTGCCCAGGGTACATAATGACGGCGCAGCGTATACCATGGTGTGTTTAGCGGGTTTTTAGAATAGCGACGTCCTTTTCTCTTCTCAATCCAATTTCTAATATCTTACCCTGGTTCCTCGCTTGGTGTCATGTGCGTCGATGGAAAAACTGGAATTACGACTTGTCATAGGCAAGCTGATGTTTCGATTGGTCGTCAACCATCACGAACCAAGGTTCCGACATCTCATCCATAGTACACTTAGGCGGAAGTATGTGTGAGCCTGGTATAATACAACACACATCCCAGCGACGTTCTCATAATCATCAATAAGCCTGCCGACTACATCAACTTCTCCCAGCTCCTTTCTCGCCGATAACCTGCATTGTATACCCTAGCCTTCACACCAACACAAGAAAAAGCCTCACCATCAACGCCCATCATGTCTCTGAACTCCCAACCTAAGATCCGCTTCACCCCCAAGATGCTCAATCAGAAAGCGAAGAAAGCCCAACCCACGCAAGAGATGTTAGATCTCGGCATACAAAACTCTTCAGACTCGGCCTTTTTCAACTTACCAGGCGATATCCGCAAGCGCATTTACGAATTTGCGTTCACTACGGGCGAGGTTATTCAACTCCTTTCCCTTGATGCGGACCTCGAAATCGCAGCTATTACTGAAGTAGAGGAAGATGAGGCTATGGATATCGATATCGATATTGATGATATGATGATGGGTCTTGAAATCAACGATACATCTCTATCCGACAACATGAAGCCCCAAACGCGAAACCCCTTCGCCGCAATCCTCGCATCCCGACAATTCTACTTGGAAACACACCTTCTCCCTTTCTACCACAACACCATCTCCTGCACCAACATAGAGGACTTCGCCACTACTCTTCGCCGCCTATCACCCGCCCAAGCATCCTCCATCCGCTCGCTGAAGATCCAGTGGGCGACCGCGCTGTTAGCAGTGCAGGAGCACATGGACCTATCTTGGGCATCTGGTATGGATCCAGAATCGGCCAGATCAGCACTGCAAGTGCTAGATAAACTGGAGAAGGTGGTTGTGGATTGGGCGGGGAAGAGGCGGATCTTTCTTAATAAAAAGAGGGTGGAAGAAGCGCTGAATGCGTTGTGTGGTAGGGAGATTGTTGTTTCGTTTGAAAGGGGCGGGGAAGAGTATCAAGAGGTTGTGCAGCGTGCGGGAACCGTACAGCAGAGGAAACGAATGGAGCGAGCGGACACGGCGATGGAGTGGTCGGCGCGTGCTTGGGATGCTTGAGGGTGAGAGGGAGGTGCGCGGGAGGGTGGAGATGGAGAGTTGAGAACAATGTGCTCATGCACTCTGACATGATAACCATGTTTGCAGTTGTTTGCCTGACGACCTGTGTTCCTACTCTGCGGTAGCAATCCATGTACATGTTGCTATGCGTTTCATGAATGTTGCTCTTTCTTGAAACCTCAGAATACATAGCGATGTCGACAGAGTAGGACAAGTGTGAAGTAGTAGCTGTTAGTTTAACTCATATGTTTGTTAGTATAATGCTCTTTGCATGCTCAGCATATGCGCTTTTCATTCTAGTTCTCGACAGGTGTTTAGAAGTGGGAATATTAGTACTACGCAAGGGTAGCCCCGCCAGCAAAAGATAAGGCCCACAAGCACAACCAGGCTGCAAGGAAAATGGCAAAAAAAGGTGAGAGATCACTAGTCCTGGTGGGGCTGGAAGAACTGTTAGTAAAGGAAATCGAATCACGGTTGTCTGGAAATCACGTACTTCGAACCCACGGCATCCGCATAACCTGAGATGAGGTCATAAGAGTCTGACGAATCTTATAAGAACGGCGCGCTACCACTGCGCCACAGGACTTTGTTGTCCCTGGACTTGTTTTTGGACATTTTTCAAAATGGATTGCTTATAGCCTAAATGTGGGAATGAAAGAATGTTGAATGTAGCCGGTACCCATCGATCGGTATCGTTGTACATCGCACAGATATCATAGGCGGGGCAATGCAAACGTCGGTGAGTGATGACACAAAGAACGCCGCTAGCCGGTGGGGTGGCTGGTGCCCGCCCGCGTGAGGGGATCGGCCAACCACATCCGCTTAGTTGGACCGTGAGACATCTACCACGGTGCTCCCTTCCGCGTTCCTTGCTTCACAACCATCGCTGTCACTCACCTGTCGGATACAATCGTTACACGCATCCTGAGAGAAGCCTTCCATTGAGTAAGTCATGATTCCAATCCTTCATCGATCCGTAGACACCCTTCTATCAACGTGGCGGGTGTCCGAGGTCGTTGCTTCTCTGAGTGTATGATGCTCGACAACAAGAGACGTTGGCCAAGGGCAGAAGTTCCATGCGCTCTTCAATCAATGATCTGTTTTATGGTCTGATGATTGTGTTCATTCCTAGCATCTCAAAGTCGGCTCTACTACACGTGGTATCCGTACAGCTACATCTACACCGCTTCCAAGCGTCTCCAACACGGGACGATCCTATATCTCAACACAATGGTTTAAAACCTAAATATGAGAAGTAGTCTATTCTGAGCACCCGACTAACATGCTCCAAAGATACCTTCTCTTGAGGCCAACACCAGCATGACGATCAGAGCCTCCAAGTTCACACCCGAGGTGCTACTCGAAGCGCCACGCCGTTCCGGAGGTGTCCCAAACTCTGATGCATCAAAAGTCGTATACGTGGTATCGACATACAGCTTTGCTGAACATTCGAAGAAATCCGAGATTCGCGTTCTGGATGCCGCAAGCCAGCAGACCAGTCTTGTAACGGATGATGCATCCTTTAGCGAGCCTTCATGGCTTGACGATGAGACTGTATTATTGCTAAAGTCGAATGATGATGGCACCACGAAGATGGTTGTTGGCTCCCCATACAACTTCGAGAAGACGTAGGTTCAATACTCCCCATATGAGTACACGACTGCTAAACGACTTTCAGCAAGCATACTGCTGTACATATCGACGGTCCAGTAAGCGACGCCAAGATTTTTGCCCTCGGTGATGATACCTTCGGTTTCGCTGTAGTCGGTAAGGCGAAGCCTGATGGAACGCTGTTCAACCCCGAGCTGGCCGAGAAGCCACATTCCTCGGGCAAGCTTTACAAGTCCGGATTTGTTCGCCATTGGGATCACTACGTGACGGAGAACCGGAACGCGATCTGGCTTGGCAAGTTCATCTTGAAGAAGTCGGAGAAGTCCCAAGATACAGGCGCTAACCCCGGGTATCCTCTGATAAATGCGCTAAAGGGAACTGAGTTGGAGTCGCCGATCGAGCCTTTTGGTGGAAAGGATCATTTCGACATATCCAGGTATGGCCTGGTCTTCACAGCAAAAGACCCTGGCCTGAACCCTGCGACACACACGAAAACCAACATCTACGTTTCCGCGTCTGAAACATTCTGGGATGATCTTCACTTCAAGGACCAGCCACAAATTCAAAATGTATCCATCGAAGGTTTCGAGGGTGCCAGCACATCTCCCGTCTGGTCGAACTCGCGTGGCATGATCGCTTTCCTCTCCATGAAGACTGACGGCTACGAGTCAGACAAGAACCAACCCTTCATTATCCACGATTACAAGAAACCTTCAGAGGTCACCCTACTCTACGGATCTGAAGACGGCAAGGGTAAATGGGACCGAAGCCCACAGTCAATATCTTGGAGCCCTGACGACTGGCGCCTTTACTTCACTGCTGAATCACGTGGGCGTGGAAACCTATACAGTGCCGGACCTCCTAAGCCTGGCGGCGAGAAGGAGCCTCTGCCATCACTACTAGTTCTGGGTGGGACCATCGGCTCAGTACAGGTGCTCAAGAACGGCGATCTTTTCTTGGCTTCCACCAGCTTGGTCGAGAACTCTCTCTACTCACTGGTCCCGCTAAGCACGCAAAGCAAAGACACCGCCGTCTACGATCTTCCCATCGACGATCGGCCATACGACTCAGACCCTGATAATCTGACAACCAAGTACATCTCTTCCAATACTCGCTCTGGGTCCATGTTTGGTCTGTCGCGCCACCAGATCGATGAAATCTATTGGGATGGCGCTGCATCCGGTACCAAGGTCCACGCCTGGGTTATAAAGCCTAGCAACTTTTCGTCCAGCCAAACATACCCCCTCGCTTACCTCATCCACGGTGGACCCCAGGGTGCATGGACGGATGGATGGAGTACGCGTTGGAACCCTGCAGTATTCGCAGAGCAAGGCTACGTTGTCATTTGCCCAAATCCTACAGGAAGTACGTGAACCTCGTACCAAAAACTGTATAGTAGATACATACTGACATCATTTCTAGGCACATCCTACGGACAAGCTTTCACAGATGCGATCCAAGGCCAGTGGGGCGGTCTGCCATACGAAGACCTCGTGTTGGGCTTCGACTACATAAAGCAGAATGTCAGCTACGTCGACACGAAGCGAGCCGTTGCCCTCGGCGCCTCCTACGGCGGGTACATGATGAACTGGATCCAAGGACACCCGCTTGGCCGCGAATTCAAAGCTCTAGTGACCCACGACGGCGTCTTCAGCATGTCCGGCCAGATGGCGTCTGAGGAGCTGTACTTCCCCTTCCACGACATCAAGGGAACGCTTTGGAATAATCCCGAGAATTGGGCCAAGTGGGACCCGTCCAGGTTTACCGAGAACTGGGCCACGCCTCAGTTGGTCATACACTCCGAACTGGATTACAGGCTCACCATCAGTGAGGGACTGGCAGCGTTCAATGTGCTGCAGTGTAAAGGAATTGAGAGTCAGTTCTTGACCTTCCCGGATGAGAACCATTGGGTGCTGAAGCCGGAGAATGGGCTCATGTGGCATACGGTCGTGTTGGATTGGATCAATAAGCATGTGGGATTGAAGACGTACACTGAGGCTCGGAAGGCGGGAACCAGCGAGTAAGGTCTCTATCGATTAATGAGGCTCTACATCGCCATG